CTAAAACCCTAAACCCTAAACCCTAAACCCTAACTCCTAAAACCCTAAACCCTAAACCCTAAATCCTAAACCCTAAACCCTCAACCCTCAACCCTCAACCTCTGGGGCTTCCGACGTTGGCGGCTGACGGCCAGCCAAAGGTTCGGAGCGATGCCAGGCAGAGCTGAGCCGCCCCGGACATGTAGAGACCTAAGTTATAGGATTCCTTGAAGGATGGTTATAGGGGTTTAGGGTTTAGGAAAAGACTGTCTGGTGCTTAGTATAGGGAATGGGGGAATGGGTTACAGGGACTGCCATAAGGAACCCTAAGGGACTATCATAAGGATCCATTCCCCCATTCCCTACTAAGCACCAGACAGAAGAAGCTGCCGTTCTCGATTCGGTGCTGTGAGGGTCTGCTTTGGGTTTAGGGTTTAGGGCTTAGGGTTTAGATAGGGTTTGGGGGGCCAACATTCATCTTATATAGATATGTACATACATATCTGGGTGCGTCGTGTTCTGCAAGGGGGTGGTCATGTCGCTTGAATGGATTTATATCGTGGTTTCGTTTAAGCCTTTCAGCGGCTCTGAGTATGTTGGGCGGTTAAAAACTTTCATTTCTGAGACTTAGACTACTTCATCTTCCAAGAAGCATCTCAAAAGCTTCTTCCGAAGGTTTGGATTCTGGGCTACTATGGGGGCGTGAATAAGTGGAATCGTGATTTGGGAGTATAGTATACTACCATAAACAAGGGAATACGATTGCTCAGCAGCTCCATTCCAACATTGGCTTTGAGCGGAGCTTTCTTGGTTTTGGAGTCTTGGTCTCTGGCTGCAGGGTTTAAAGATGGATTTGGCTGCTAGTGTTTGTTAAGGGTATGACCCTAAACCCTAAACGGCCCTAAACCCTAAACCTATGCGGTTCAGAGTTTGCTAGTGTTAGGAGAAGGGTATGCGGTTCAGAGATTATATGGCTCAAGACTGAAGCCGGAAGGTCAGCCGAAGTAATCTACGGGCCTTAATAAGCGGAATGGGGTTTTGGGGTGTAGTGTGCTAAATTATAGTCGAGACTCCCCTAAAATAGTACCGGTAATTCTTCAGAGACCTGTGTATATTACCAGGCTGAGTTGAAGATCACCTGCCGCAAGCCCCGCAGAGCGCTATAAACCCTAGGCCCGAGGACCCAGGCGCTTGCTAGACAAGCACTTGGCAGTCGCTGTGGAGGCTGGGGATGCCGGGTGTGGGGTCATTGTTGGCATGCGAGAAACGTTGGAGCCGACTTTCCCGGTCCCCGATATCTATCCCTTACCCTCAAAGGACTCATATTTTGAGGCTTTTGGGTCCAAAGACCTTATTCTATGAGGCTTGTGGGCTATGTTGATGCTAAGGGTATGTATGTAGGAAGGCTGCATTTCTGCACAAACGTGCATACAGTATACTGCTGGATCCATCTGCATGACCACAGTCGCGATTTTTCGCCTGGTTCCAACCGACTCTTCTGAATGCCAGCCACAGTCGCTTACGTGGTGGTTCTGTGACCAGCCGTCTGACATGACAATGGCTGGGCAAGTCGCCTGCTGAGCATGTGCGCTTGCTATGAGGCATGATCTTTTGCCATCGACAGCAAGCCCGCTACTTTTCCGTGGTTTCCCTGGAGGGCGCGATTCATTGGCGTGTGCTGCCAAGAATCAGCCTTCTCGAGCTGCGCACCAGCTATGATCAACAAGCGTACGACCTCCAAGTGACCTGCGCCTGCTGCCATTGTCAAAGCTGTACCTTGAGCACTGCTCTTGTCTTTGTCCGCACCAGCCAATAGCAGAAGTGTGACCATCTCCATGCGCCCTGTGCCAGAGGCCATGCAGAGAGGTGATTTGCCCGTATAAGGGCAAAGCATGTCTGCATCAGCCCGCCCGAGAAGTAGAAGGTGCACCAGGTGCGTGTCGTCGCCCCAGAGTGCTCGAGTCAGAGGTGTGTACAACTCATCGTCGACCTTGTCCACACTGGCACCATAATCGATCAATGTCTGCACGATTTTCGCGTTCCCTCCCGCCACTGCCGAAGTCAAAGGCGTGCGCCGCGCACTGATTAGCTCGATGTCGGCACCGGCCTCCAAAAGCAAGCGCACTCTTTCCACATGTCCTTCCTGTGCAGCTCAGCAGAGAGGCGTCTGTTGACTTTCGGAGCAAAGTGTGCTGGTGTCTGCGCGGGCAGCCAACAGAAAATGCACCAACTCGGCATAGCCAAAGGCCACTGCAGATGTCAGTGGAGTGTGCAAGGCTCCGTCCATCTTATGCAAGTCAGCCCGGGCCTCCAGCAACATCTCGACAATCTTCAGTTGCCGGCCACTGCGGCCAGCAGCTGCCCACGTTAGTGGCGTTCCCGGAGTTCCCCGCACACAGATTTCGTCGTCTTTCCCAGCACCGGCTCCAAGCAGCACGGACACGATCTCCACGTGACCGTGGCTACAAGCCGCACACAAAGCATCAGCGTACGGAACACTGCCCGCCTCCAGTAGCAGACGCACGATCTCCTCATGGCCATTGTAAGCAGCCACGAAGAGCCAGGAATTATGTTGGTTCAGCAAGCTACAATCTGGGTCTGCAGGCAACAGCAGCATGTCCTCAACAATTCTCACCTGGCCATCCTGCAAAGCCTCGTTGAGTGAAGTCTCTTGTTCGTGGGTCAGGTGTACAAATGGTAGCAGCACCAGCTGTATGTCGGTAGTAAACGAGCACAACTTCACATTATCAGCAAGAGGCGTTCCCTGATGCAAAAGACGCTGCCTAAACCTCGACTTGCCGCATAGGGTCTGCAAATGCCGCGTCAATGACAGCACATCTGTCAACTGTTCTTCACTGATAGAGGTTAACTTCTCGCCGGAGACCAGCCAAACGTGCAGCAACTGTTGAGCTACGTCCCTGGGGTGTTGCACCATTCCTGCTCGCGATTGCTTGAGGACTTTCAGGTGAATACGGAGTTCAACGAGCAGTAACGAACTATATGGGCATATGCATAGTTCAGGGCTTCCCAGTACCTTACTTCCCCAATAAGCCAGGAAAACAAAAGGTTAAACTTTCAGATTGCTACTAAATATAACAACCCAAAAAGTTCTAAGCTTGG